TCTCGTTTTCGGAACAGCCCAATATCGATCACAGCCGTTAACAGCTGTGCGTTGGTCGCATGTCGCGCGCTTTGCTGCCAATGACGTCAAAGGTCGACAAGTTGTCAATGGATACGAGTCAGTTGCTCGTGACAACAACACGATTTTTACGTTTAAACTTGGTGACCAAACTTTCGTCCCGCCGAACTCAACTGATAATCGTGGTAACTATGGTTGATACTGCAAGGCTCAGGTCGGTAAATAGCATTAATGATGCGGGTTACCTAAATGAAGTGGATATTGTATCCAAAAATCCAGATCGAAATAGAGAAGCAAGAGATTTTCCTGTCAATCCAACTTCTGCACTAACTTTGTTCAGCGAAAAATATCCGGAAATTGCACCAACTTTGAGGACAACTAAGGATCATTATCACGCTTTGAAGGAAGCCCAAAACCATGGCAATCTGATTTCACTGGCAGCATTCCAACATGTTAAAGGCTTGTACAATGTTTACATCCTAGATAAGAGTCCGAAGAATAGATTTGCACTGACAGAATTTGCGGTAACTTTGGGGATTCCCAAGCTTGCTTATGAAATAATTGTTGACAGCAGAACTAAATGCCAAGACCTAACCACATGGGACAGAGAAAAGGATGCAGAGGGAAGCAAGGGTGATTTGGGTTTGAGAGCTGAGGAGCAGGTTAGCAGTCTTAGCATGCACTCTTGTTGACTTGCAATGTTGTAAAAAAGGTTTGGTTTTGCTGTATACAGGTACACTCAATGATTGGTTTAAAAAACTCATGCCTCCAAGTATAGCTACTACATGAATATAAATTTAGTTGAACAGATGAGAGACTTGCACGAGGCATGTTGCACAAGATATTGCCAGCTGTATATTTGTCCACTGTGGGCTGGCCACCTGGGGGGTGTGTACTCCTAGGGGTACGCCCGCTTTCCAAAACGCTTACCATACCCTATTTAAGAACAAAATCTGTGATTTTGCGCATCCAATTTATGACCTGACTAAAAATTTGATACCCTATTGAACACCTGAGTTCCCTTGTTCAGATCAATTTTAAAGGCAATGTTTATTTGCTTTTATTAGGTTGGAAACCAACCTGTGACAAAAAGGTAGCTTCTTCTAAAAAACATGGCCAAAACGGGTAAAAAAACATATCCTTTGGGGCGGCACATACCTATATAGTCCACATATGGGAGTACCCCGTGGGGGCTGGCCAACCCCTGAGATATTTGTCAGCGTGACAGATAAATGCAAAATTCGGAGTTTGGGAAGGGCAGCTAGTGTAAGATGCCCAGAAATTAGCGTAGCTCACAACTTGAGTCTATTCTGTGCAATGTTTACTGCGGCAAAAGGGTTGCAAGACATGCTCAGTTCAAGAGATGATGCACAAGGCACTCAGGGCTGTCATTAAGTTTTGAGTCACCTGTAGCCTTGTTCTCCACAGCTGTATAGCAAACTTGTTACTTTATGGGTGAATTCTATCAAAAACAGGTAATTTCACCTGTAGCATCAAGGGAAAATCAAGCATACTCAGCCGTGTCAGGTGTTATGGGGTATGGTCTTTAATGACATCCTTTGGGGCACTTTTTTGTGAGGCAGAGAAAAAAACTCTGATGGGATGAATTTGGATCGCTGATTTAGTCAAGAACAAGGCATAAACAATTATAGCTGCTGCTGTTGTTTAAATCAGTCATCTGAATTGATCCAGCCCGTGTTTTGTACCTGCATGCCCCCTTTTTATGCAATTGAGTCGCAGTAAAATAGGAAGGCTAGTCACAAATAATGGCTCATAGGATTCTGAGAGAATTTTCAGTTATGAAGTGTCAATTGGTATTCCTGCCCTTATACCCTTACGATTATCGAATTGGATAACAAGTTTCCCATAAGTAATTTGGCTATCAGCTGGTGTTGGGGTCTTTTTTGAGTGCTTATACACTGAAAATTATGTGCATAATGCCCAACTAACCTCAAAGTACATTTCTTTCACATCTGGGCACTGCAGTAAAATTGAATAGCTTTACTGGAAAAGTTGCTTAAAACAAAAATTTGCTATCGAGCAAAAATATTGCTTCCTGATTCTGTTTAATTCATACTTCAATTAAGTTGTTTCAGAAGTAGAATATTGAACCCCAGCCATACTTGGAGCTTTCGGAGCTATCATGATCTCATATCCCTAATTATGTCAAAATGTTGGTACTGTACAAAGTATATCTGATAATCGAAAATCATGTGACAAAATAACAATCTACATATTATAAGTGTTTAGTCCTGAGAAAGTACCAGGGGCCCTTCTATTAGACATGCACAAGTTTACTTACATGTATAAGAGATCTTTATAAACCTTTTTTGCAGGAGTCTGAACAAGACAAAGCAAAGACCGATGCTCTAAAAATGTCACAGGATATCATTTCTCGGTTAATCGCTGTACTTCTAAATTTCACTGATGTCCATGATCCATTTTGCTTGGCTTGCAATGAAGCTGGTATGGTGCACCTTTTTGTTGAAATGATTAAAGAACTCCAGGACACAATTCCACACAACTTAAAATTTGTGGTAAGTGTTCCTATACTTGTAGCTAGTTACGAGGGAGGCAGTGTTGCCGAGTGGTTAGTGTGGTGGACTTGAGAAATCCCAAAGTCGCAGGTGGATATCCTATTTTGTCCACTACCTACTAAGAGTTGTTTTATGGTAGACCTGAGTTCAGCTCATTGTCGTGGTTGTTTGCTTCCTTCCCGATGGGATTTTTAACCTTCTTGTCTTCATTAACATTATTTGTTTGGCCCTAAAAGCCCCATTGGGGGAGTTGGGATGTTCTGCTTTTTTTACCTCAGTGTTGATTTGTGTTCATTGAATGTCTGTATTAATGATCGAGGTTGTACTGCATTGTATTTATGACAGAATGCCCAAACACAGCACCAAACTAGATTCACGGTGCGTGGCAAGGTACTATCTCGGACCTTGGGCACCCTTCATAACTTATCAAAACGTGTGCCAACGAGGAGGAACTTTGCCGCTTGTCATGCAGTGAATGTGCTCGTACCTTTGCTCAAAGCAGAAGTTGCACTTTACAGTGCTAAAAGTCTGCTTATTCTGGCCTACTTGATTGACGAAGAGAACAATTATTTGATCATGGCTGATGAAGGTAAACCTAAAGGCTGGTTCTCAAAAACGCGCAAGCATAAGCATATGTAAACACAGTAGAGTGGTGTTAAGTAGCATCTTTTGTTTGGAAATTATCAGAACTAAAGGTGCTTATTGTCAACATCATACTTCTGCATCTGTCGGCTTATGCTTACGCCCATGAGCACAAATGAATCTATTTGTTTCACCAGCACATGAATGCACTAGTGTAAACAAGCCTTTAAGGTTGGTTTTGACTATAGCATATAAGCATAAGCATAAGCTGGCATATGCAGATGCAGTAAAAAGTTAATAATTTAGGCACCTTTTTTAGGAAAATTCCTAACAAAAGCTGCTAATAATTATTATCAATATCTTACTGCATAGGCATATGTCATCTTATGCTTATGCATATGTGCTTAATTTTAATGTTGATCAGTGTAATGCAAATTTTGAAATGTACTCAGTATTCATGAGAAGCAAAGAAGAAATCTTTGCCCAACTTAGGACCAACTGTGGTTCAGTTTGTGTATGTTAATATTTTAGAAATAAAACATTTTGCTCATATGTTTACTTGCAATGTTGCATGACGCAAACGTGAGAGAAAGATTTGGAGAATTCAAAAGTTCCCTACACCATAGTTTATGCCTACACTAACAGATCTTCTTACAGTTAAACCCTGCTATTTCAAACTCTCAGGGGAAATGAAAAATAGTTTGAAATAGCTGATAGTTACTGACTAAAGAGTAAAGCCAAGGGAAACGGGTATGAGTCCAAAATAACGGAGTTTGAATTAGCGGACACACATATCAGTGACATTCTTAGCTATCGCTTCGTGCCCCACTTCTTGTTCTTACCACATTCTTACGTCATCTGTGATCAATTACTGAACACATGCACAACAACATGGAATCTATTTGTTAAGTTATAAGCCTCCCTTTACTGGTATATTATGTGTTTTTTCTTCAGGTCCAATAAAGTTTCTCACAAGCTTGCTGGAAAGATCGCTGAATACTTTAAGCCATAGATATATAGGCTTCTCTTCCTCTGAACTTGCTGAAGGTCTGACGCAAATTGCAGTCAATGACAGCAACAAGAAAACGGTAAAATGCTGTTGTGAATTTTGCATTCTATAGGAGATGCAGTGACCTATGGTCAGTGGACTGGACTCTGGATTGAGTGGTCTGGGTTTGAGCCCTGTTGAGGGTCATTGTGTTGTGTTCTTGGGCAAGACACTTTACTCTATCTGTGTTTCTCTCTACCCACTGGTGTATAAATGGGTAAGGCGAATTTAATGCTGGGGGTAACCCTGTGATGGACTAACATCCCATCCAGGGGGAAGTAGAAATACTCCTAGTCGCTTTAGAAACTGGAATAAGCACTGGCGGTATGGAGCACTTGGCCCCATGTGGACTTGTCTTTTAACCATAAAGATGCTAGTTTATTGCTTTTCAGAATAAAAATCATTAATCCTGTATCTCAAATGAAGCATTTCTTGTAAACCTGCCAGCTCATTGAAAAGAAAATTGAGTATCCTGGTCAGGTGTAATGCAATAATTAGAAGTTTTACAATCTTAATATATTCATTTCAGATTGCTCAATGTGGAGCTATTCCTATCATTGTCAAAATGTTGCAAAGTGCACAAGACGATGAGGAGAAATTCAACGCCTGTAATACACTGTGGACCCTGGCTTTTGATGAGGAAAACAGAAAACAAATCAAGGGTGATACAGTTGCTATTCCTGAGCTAAAGAAACTTCTAACGTCAGAGAACAGTGAGATAAAGAAAGCTGCTGCTGGTGCATTATGGGAATGCGAAGGCAAAGAGAAACACGCAGAGGAGAAACAACAGTCAGTTAAAATACAAGAAGCAACAGGTGCGCATGTGCAAGGTATGAAGATCTTTTATTGCCTATTACCTCTCTATACCACTCTCAGTGATTTAACCCCAGCAAGACAGCTGTCTACGATTGGGAATCCCCAAACACCATACAGAATTAAATGCTGATAGTGAAGTAGTTTCTATGACTGGGTGTTAACCACAGGTAAATGTTTAAAAACGACTAACAAGATATTCAGCCTTGGCCAAATGGACTCGCAAGTACACCGAAGTTGAAAACTTGGGTCTACTTGGGAGTCCTTTTGGTCAGGCCTTGTGTGCATGCACTTACCTGCGATGACTTGTGCTCACTTTGGTCGAAATCAAATTTTTACGCAAGTCGACACAAGTTTTTCACTGTTTGGCCACGCAACCCATGTCAACGCAGGTCGAGTGGCGTCTGTTATAGCAATCTATTAGCAAATGAAATACAGGATATGTCTACGTGAAATGGCCTTGAAATGTTTTTTTTTTTTTGGCCACTTGCGAGGAAACTTGCGAGTCCATTTAGCCACCCAGCGCAAGTCTCTACGCGAGTTCAATTCAACTTGCGGTACTTGCGACTACTTGTGAATCCGTTTGGCCAAGGCTTTATAATCATGGGTGAAAAAGATATGAATGTAATTCTTACATTAATGTCTGTAAGTAACATTAGTTACTGGAGTATTGCATTTTTAACTTCGTCACAGCTTGCATTGTTTTGTTTATTCATTTCAGACACCAAGCACGTAATGATAAGTTACCAGTGGGATGTTCAAACACTTGTGATTCAGTTAAAAAACAAGCTACAGGCGGACGGCTACAAGGTTTGGATGGACATTGATGAGATGGGCGGCTCTACACTGGAGAGCATGGCCAAGGCTGTGGAAAATGCCAGCGTCGTGTTGGTCTGTGTGTCTCAGAAATACAAAGAGAGCCCCAACTGCCGGTCAGGTAATGATATATCACATTTGTAATGATTTAATGACTACTTCAAAGAATGAAAATAAGCCATATGGACGATCTGCAAAGGAGTCAAAACCCCATATAAAAACAGACCGCAAAAAAGGAAGAAAGAAATATCTCCTCACCCCCTCTCATTAAAATTATGACATTTTGTCATTGAGAATTTTCTAGCTTTTGCCTTAAAAGCTCTCTATCGATTGGATTCACATCGAGTGTCCAATGTAAGTTCATTCCAGTTAATTCCAGTTATCTACAATTGTTTGAAAAAAAAAAAAATGGGAATTCTAGCACGTTAGTTCTAGCATACTTCTTTTTCAGAGTCAAATTACAACAGATGCTGTGGCAATAGTTGCAATGTTTAAAGATCATTACACGAAGAAATCTCAAAAGCTAAACCTGATAAAGAGGGAAGATGAATAATAACCTTGGTTAGTTCCTAGCAGGAAACTTCATTGTTTCCTTTTCAAATTAAAAGTTACATGGACATGGAAATTCCTAAAGGAATTGGGGAGAGCTAAATACTTGTAGGTCTGTAGAGGAATCTATAAAAAATGTGTTCTTTGGCAAATTATTTTGTAACAATGATTTAAAAATATAAGAGACGTTCTTTGAAACCAAAGAATAGTCTCCATAACCGTAGAAACAAGGAGGGTGTTTTGGTTTTGATTAACAAAACATTTTCGAAAATTTTGGTTCGGACTTTCTGTTCGGTGCCGGAGAATCTTTCACTGGAAGTTTTCCCGAAGAAATGGTTAAAGTGTGAGCCCGTTAAAACCAAGAAGCTTGGAAACTGGTACAAACGAAGCGTGACGGAATGGGACTCGAATTAACATTCGGAAAGGCCGAAGGGGAGACAGGACTACCTTTTCGGAAGGTTCTGTCTCCGTCTTGGAAATTTCCAATGGACTGAACAGAAACATTGTGCGCAATTGAAAAAGGAAATAAGCCCACAGCTCTTTTTTTTCGTTAAAGCAAAATGTAAGCCAATCACCAGCTAGCAGTGTGCAAATTCTCTTTAAATCGTCCAGTCACGGTGAACCTTATACAGGGTTGTCACATGTCAGGAAATGGTCAGCGAAAAAAATTCTTCAAGGTCAGGGAAAAGTCAGAGAATTTTATTTTGAGTCAAGGAAAATTGATATCAGTCTTAACACCATTGAAGGCTGGAAGAAAGATTTGGGGTCACTGTTGTCTCAACAATATTTTTACTTGATGAAGAAGAAAAATGTGTTGAAAATTATCACTCTTAATGAACGAAGAAGCCGGAATTAGACCTGATATTTTGTATTTCTTTGGTTAGGGATTTCAATTTTATTTTTATCAGGGAAAAGTCAGGGTATTTTGAAAAGGGATGTCTGTGGCAACCATGTTATAAGTCGCCCTAGCGGTAGAAACCCGGATGTGCTGTAAAGTGAATACTGTTGAGTTTATTAGTTAATTGAAGCAAGTTAACTAAATTCTATTTTGACTAATGAACTAATTTAGAAGCAGAGTACACATTCCAGCTGCATAAAGACATCATTCCATTGATGATGGAAAATAAATACAGACCTGACGGATGGCTTGGCTTTATAATGGGCTCCAAATTCTGGATTGACTTCAGCGAAAAACATAAACTAGACTTGAACGCCAACAAGCTAGTAAAGGAACTGGGAAACAGAGGGAAAATAGCAGTCCAGGAAAGTATTGTTCAAGGTATAAAAATGCCATTGTTAAGCATTTGTTTAATGAAAGCTTTAGAGCTAAATATTAACAAAAGCTGTAAGTCTCTGAAGAAACTGTTTTGTCCGGTCGGCAGGCTTGTAAATCACTTTGTTACTTATTGTTAATTTTGGGGGTGATAACAAGGTATTGGCCGAGAGTCCACCACGTGACCTGCAAATAACTACCAACAAATAATGGTATGCTAATACGTAATACCGTCTAAATGTGTTTTGCTGCAAATAATATTCTACTCGTGCATACCTAGTTAAAACCACGCTCTCGTGTGAAAAATGGCTGATCGTTTCACTGAGCTGTCACGGGGTGACTTGAATATGAAAACAAATTTGGTGATCGAATGATAACACAATTATTGAACTCGGTTATCGCAAAGTATCGTGATTTGTCCGTGTCTTGCAGATCAGTTATTTGCCTCAGCCATCGGTTTCGACAAATGATTGGTTTGCTCGCCACTGCCAAATCACCATATTTTGCAGTAATAGTTAATTATCCGCTGAGGCCAATGTAGAAAGATGATATTTCAAGCAGTAGCCCCTCGTTGGCGTAACCTATTGACCAAGTTATCTATCTTTCCCTGATTTGAGTGGTTACTTTGGAAATGGGATAATTGACATTAAAGACTGATTCCGTTGGTGATTGTCTAGTTTCAGGATAATCTCGTGTGTCATTCAGTGACCACTCTAAGAATCGATTTAGAGGTGTGATTTTTGATTTGATGTTAATATTGCAGCCGTACTAGAAGATGTTGTCGATGCCTCGCCCCAGTCTTCCATCAGATCCTGGACACTCGGTGATGTCAAAAGTTGGATCAACGATGTGGGATTGGAAGAGAGGTCAGAAACTCTTTTCTGCAGGCTTCCGCAATACTTCAAGCTTTTTAGTGGTTGTAAATACGATCCATTTCTCTGTGTTATTCAGTGGATGGTGAGCTTCCTCACGAACTAGTGTCTCCTCCATCGTGAGGAGGCAGGGTGACTTAATAAGGTTAGGTTGCGTGTTCGGCCGGTTCAACTCACGCCCGTTCTGACCACTGGCTGGAGTTGTCACGCGATAGGCCCGAGTCCAGTTTCACGCTTGTAAATAGCCAACTGGTTTGCCTCATGCTTGTTGGGGTTTTTAACCTAATTTTGTTTAATTTGAAATATTTGCATGTTTTTGTCATTTAATTGCTCGGCCCCACTAGCCCTCATGCTTTAAAAGCGTTCCAAATATAGATAAAGGTTATGCAATTTTAAAATCATAGTTAGCAAACAAGGTATACAAGAACAAAATTCGCGCCCCCTGCAGTTGAGTGATTTTGTTTTTTTTTTTCATGTGGCTAAATATTCATTCTTTATATTCCCAAATCATTTTCAAAAAGGGTTCAGCCAATTCTTTCAAATAGGAATGCTAATTGTCTAAACTTGATTGATTGCTTACTGTACAACAGGCGAATTTGGGGCAGAGCACGAAACGCGACACACGAGCGCGCTTCGCGATTCGCCTGTTCTGCTGGCTATCGAACGTCAGCTTCATTTCCAGGTATCTTTCTCATCTCCCTGAAAAAGTCAGCGTTCCCTGGGAAAAAGGCTGTTCCTTTGATAACGAGGTTGGTCAGCCCTTACTTGATGATGTCATGCGAAAGAGGGTCTTCTTTTCTAAAGAATGACAAATACTACATTTGAAATTTGAGACATTTTTTCTCCCTAAATTTCCTAGTTAAACTTTCAAAACAATTTTTACAGGTTGAATGGAAAAGCTGTTGAAAGGCTGGATGGTCGGATGTTGTTGCGACTGCAAGATCTCAGAAAGGAGGTAAATTATGTTTATTTTTAAAATATAACTGAATTGGCGGCAGTTTGATTGTTGAGAACGATCCTACAAATAAAAATCACTCGTTAATTGACTATTACGTGCCAGCGCAGACGTTTTTCCGCTGGTCATCGAAGCAATATTTAAATACC